CAGCCCGAGGAGGGCTCAAGGGAGCCGAGGGGGGGAGGGGGGCGCCCGCCTGCCGGGGGCCGAACCCCTCACGAGGGGGGCTGAGTCCCCAGGCCGGCAGGGAGGAGATGGCCGGAGCCCGGAGGGGGGAGGAGCCGGGGCAGGGGGTGATGAGGGGAGGGGGACGGGGGATCCTCAGCGCAATCAGCCCAGCAAAACCGGTCCGGCGACGCGGCGGCGGAGGGGGTGGCCGCCGGAGAGGGCGGCAGCGGGGCCGCAGAGGAGGGAGGGGCGAGGCAGGGTGCCGACGGCGAGGGGGAGGGCGCGGCGGAGCCGCCCGCAAGGTCGCCAGGAGAGTCGCCCATCCCAACTCTGTCGCTGGCTTAGTACAACTTAGAGTTGTACGTAAACCCTCTTTCGGGCGGTTGATTTTCATCTCTCTTTCCATTTCCCTTCCTATATCCCAAGATACCAACTCTTTAGTCAAGACTCGATGGCACACCCTCAGGCTTCATCTGAACCTCCTTCCTGACACTTGAGCGGGCATGTTTGGTTCGTGGCTAACTTTGTCATAGCTCGTCACATTATGTTTGTCAAACTTGTTTAACCTAACGTTCAAATTCTTAGCCACATTTTTGGCTTGTCTCGGGGAATCATGTTACACCTAACTTATCCCTTGCTTATTTATCACAAAAAGAATCTTGCATTGGGTATGGTTAGAACCAAATATCCACCTGACTTGATGTGTCAAAGTGTGGGTAGATACCAAACAGCCGTACATGGTACAGTGAGAGAGAGGGGGGGGGGGGCGATCCCTTCTCAGATGTTGTGTTATTTTCTGTTGTATAAGTTCGTACCGTGGCAGAAGAGATTTTGGTTCAATCTGATGACGCCCATCAGCTCTTGCATACAGGCGGACATGCGATGTGCTTAGGGCATCTCCAGCCGTTGGCCCCCCAGGGGGTGTCTAAAAGCGCCGCCTGGGGGCGAGCCGGAGATACACTCGGCGCTGGGGGCGGTTTTGCGCCCAGTCATCGCTCCCAGCTCGCCCCCAGGCGTCGAAATTGGCCCACTTTGCAGCCCAATTTCGGCGAATAAACGGCCCATATGGGCGAGAATAGGCCCATATTCGGCGTGGTTTCGGCGTTCAATTATCAACACACACATATTTTATCACAGAAAAATCAAATACTTCAACAAAATACTACAACAACAAATAGTTCAATACAAATTATATAGTTCAACAAATAAAAACTCGTATTTCATCACGCGGCGTCCCCCTTGAGCCTTCATAGGTGCTCAATCAGATCTTTCTGCAGTTGATGATGCACATGTGGGTCTCGAATCTTCTGATGCATACCGAAATAGGCAGTCCAAGTTGCCGGTAGCTGGTGATCAACTTCGGCTAGAGGACCCTGCCTGTAGTATGGTTCAGTGTCAAACACTGGGTCTTCTTGCTCGCTCTCGATGATCATGTTGTGCAAGATGACACAGCAAGTCATGATCTCCCACATTTGATCTTTCGACCAGGTCTGAGCGGGGTACCGAACAACAGCGAATCGAGATTGGAGCACACCAAATGCCCGCTCGACATCCTTCATGCAAGCCTCTTGAACCTTCGCAAACCAGGCGTTCTTGCCTCCTGCCACAGGGTTTGAGATCGTCTTCACAAATGTCGACCATCTCGGATAGATGTCGTCAGCTAGATAGTACCCCTTGTTGTATTGGTGCCCATTGATCTCGAAGTTCACCGGAGGAGAATGGCCCTCAACGAGCTTGGCAAAAACAGGAGAGCACTGCAGCACGTTGATGTCATTGTGAGTTCCTGGCATACCAAAGAAGGAGTGCCAAATCCAGAGGTCCTGTGTGGCTACCGCCTCAAGCACCACACTGCAACCGCCTTTGGCGCCTTTGTACATCCCCTGCCAACCAAATGGGCAGTTCTTCCATTTCCAATGCATGCAGTCGATGCTTCCAAGCATCCCAGGAAATCCTCTTGCTGCATTCTGGGTTAGGATCCGAGCAGTGTCTTCCGCATTGGGTGTTCTCAAGTATTGTGGCCCAAACACTGCCACCACTGCCCGACAGAACTTGTAGAAACACTCTATGCTGGTGGACTCGGCCATGCGCCCATAGTCGTCGAGTGAATCACTGGGAGCTCCATATGCAAGCATCCTCATCGCTGTCGTGCACTTCTGGATGGAGGTGAATCCAAGAGCGCCAGTGCAATCCATCTTGCACTTGAAGTAGTTGTCGAACTCCCGGATGGAATTCACAATCCTGAGGAAGAGCTTTCGGCTCATCCGATAACGGCGCCGAAATGTTCTCTCGCCATGAAGTGGAGCATCGGCGAAGTAGTCGGAGTAGAGCATGCAGTAGCCGTGCAGACGATGCCGGTTCTTTGCTTTCACCCGCCCCGGCGCCGAGCCACCTCGACGCGGCTTTTCATTGCTCGCCAGCAGCTGGGCGAGGGTGGCGAGCACCATCAGATGCTCTTCTTCCTGGACGTCGGCCGCGGCTTCCTCCTCCAGCAGCGTGGCGAGCTCTTCCTCCTCATCCGAGTCCATCACCGACACAGTCAAAACGCCGAACACCTTGCGCTCGGTGGGCATGTACCCACCGTTAAACCGCGCCTCCGCGGCCGGAAACGGCGTCCGAAAACGCCCAGCTGCTGCGGGAGGGGCTGCCGCGGCGAAGCGCTGCTATTTTCCGGCGGGGAATGGCTATCTAGCGGAGTAGGCCGGCGGCCATCGCCGGGATACAGCTAGTGGTGGCCGAGGGCGCGGGGATGCGAGGCGAGTCGGGGGGAAGAAAACCTTGACTTTTCCCCTGTCGGTGTGGGCCAGGCGTGCTTTTCCCTAGCGCCGGAGCCCCCAACGGCTCCCCAGCGCGTCGGGTTCGGCCTGTGACCGCCGGGCGGAAAAAAGGTCCGAACCGACGATTTTCGGCGTCCTGGGGCGCGACTGGGCCGTTTTTCGGTGCCGACGCCGAAAAAGTGGCCTGGGGGGGCTTGTTGGGGGCGCGGCTGGAGATGCCCTTAGTACAACAGGAAGGTGCATGCTGCCATGCACAAAAAGGTGTCGTCTGCAGAAAATAAATTGCTAGTAGAACGTGCCGAATTAGTTAAGTTAGCGTACGAAGACGAAAATTTTGAAAAATATAGCAGGAGCTACATTCTGCCGGTTAAAGACTGGAACCAGGAAGGGACAAACGTACCAAGCGCCAGCTCTTGCCCGGCGTAGAACCGAGCCGAAACAACGTACCCAGGCGGTTATGTGGCTACAGCGAAACGGCAGCAGCAACAGAGGCGATATAAATGTGGAACACAAGAAATAAAAGCACGTTTGGCTTATCCTTAAGCAGATATTCGTGCAGAAATAATTATCCAGTCAGGAAAAAACAAACAGTAGAAACGAAGCAACAGAATATGTGGTTTATTTTAGAGGCGTACACTGTCAGCCTCTGGGTACAAAACTTCTGGATCTATTTACATTTTGATCAGGCCTCGGCGGCAACAGCGTACAACACAATAAATGGGCGACCCCGTGTATCGCTATCACACAGGCTCAGGAAACTCCCGTGTTCTTCAGCGTGTGTTTCTCAACAAAACAGGGCCGCCGTAGTACCGGTCAAATAGGGTCTAGGTGAGTACCGAAAAGTGGAGAAAGGAGCAGAGTGGACGCCACAGGCAAAACCGCAAAAGGCGTACATCAAAGTTTCAAACGAAATAGCGCTATGGCTTATCTGACTCCCTATGGCTAAATCGGAGCACATTGGTACTACAAGTGATACAGTGTGGCAAAATTGCTACCGGAATCATGTTAGCTGCCGAACCCAAATGGCGATTTACTCCTGCTGCCACCTTCGCCGTACTGTTCGTTCCATTTTCTCAGCTCGTTCATGCTCGTGGCATCAAAAGCAATGGATGGGCTCACCTACACAGCGAAAAAGAAAACAATCAAACATGAAACATAAATAACCCTGAGTGTGTGCAGTGCAGTCAATTGACAACCGGTTTCTAATTACCTTGGCTTTCGCTTGGACAAAGTCATCCAACTTTAAGGACCTTAAAGAAGTTTTCGCACTGCCCGCAGCCCCCTAAGAGAAGGTGGCAACCAGGTGAGCAAAGACATGAAGAGGAAGACCCATGGTGAATAAACTTAGAATGCAACAAGTAATACTAAAAGCAAGGAAGTGCCACCTTCTTTTCTTCTTCTAGCAGTTCATGAACTGGCCTGTATGCTGCAGCTACGCATAGGTTCTGCAGGAAAATGCACCAAACGAGTTACACATAGGTGAAGTAAGTGGACAGCAGATAATTTGGTACGCGAGGGAGAAGAATACAACAGCTGTGGATGGCTTGAGCATGATACCTTCAAGTCACTCCCAGAGTAACCTTCTGTTGCATTGGCTAGTTCGTCAAATCCAAATTCAGATTCTAGGTTTTCTTTGGCAAGTAATATCTTGAGAATTTTCATCCTATTCTGCGCATCCGGAAGGTCCACGTATATCCTGCGGGTCATGTTGACATATCATCACATTTAAGTTACTCGAGCCAAAATAATATTCTCCCAGGCACAACACAAGCACATCAATGCAGATTTTACCTCCTAGGCAAACGACGTATTACAGCATCATCTAGATCGAATGGACGGTTTGTTGCACCAAGAATAAGGATCCTTTGACTCTCTTTGGACCTTAGACCATCCCAAGCTGCCATAAATTCATTGCGCATCCTTCTCGTTGCTTCATGCTCCATTGCACCACCCCGTGCACCAAGTAAGCTGTCAACCTACCATTAGCAAATCAAAATTGCATGAGTCAGGAGATTCCGCATGACCTGTCGAAATGATAAGGATGCCGTCCTGAATATAAAACACCTACTTCAGTATGTTTGATCAAATGAAAACTCACCTCATCCACAAATATGATAACAGGAGCTAGCCGACTTGCAAACGAGAAAAGGGCTTTGGTGAGCTTCTCAGCGTCTCCAAACCACTGTTGACAGAAAATGATGGTAGTGAATTAAAGTTGTCAAATAATGGATACATTCCAGGAAAGAAAATTCACACAAGAGATGAACTTCGACATTTTGCTTCATTATTTCATGTAAAGCAGCAAGCCGCATGCGCAGCGGGGAGAAACTGTAGATCAATGCAGTGCTGAAATTGGTCTAGGAACTAAGATTTGACTATCACTATAGTACCAGCATATTACATGGAAAGGTGGCAGACTAGTGCCATCTGACAAACCATAAATGGTTACTGCCATAGTCTTTGTTTACAAAGATAATGTTCAGTGTTGCTGTATTACACATCCGATGAAGTGTTCTGGTTGCTTCAGGTATGCTGCTATCAATCTGCAACTAACAGTACATTTGATACAGGAGGAGCCGAGGGAGCTAACCACGCAATTTTTTGTGAACTGAAAAAACATAAAAATGGTGCAGGATATGGTCGAATAGGAGAAAGGACTCTTCAGGTAATATAGAAGCGATTCATCATTAACATTCCATTCAGTTCTCACATAATATAACTCCTATACGCCGAATTCAAACAAATTTACCTTCGACATGAGACTAGAACCAGTTATGCTGATAAAATTTGCTCCAGCTTCTGTCGCAAGTGCCTTTGCCAAAAGAGTTTTTCCAGTTCCAGGAGGCCCAAAAAGCAATATTCCTTTGCAAGGCTGAACAAAGGTCCATACAGATACATCATGTTAAACATACAACTATGAAAACCATAAAAATATGCATACAGAAGCACACATCTAAGAAAGCAAACTAAGATTTAGACGTTTCTTCAGAGATATTCTTATTTTATAGGAAGTGCTGTAAGAATTCTAGCAGTGTTTTTTCATGGACTTGGGAACTTGATTTATGAAGTTGAGTCGTGTTGTATGGCATAAAATGGCATCACATTAGTACCACTACAGCAATTTATCCTGAATCCCTAAAGCATGAAGTTATAAGGATGTAATATTTACTGTTAATGGTATTGGATATCAGGAATGAAATTAAAGGACAGACCCAGTGCATAGAAGCTCCCACACAAGGTGGGGTCTGGGGAGGGATTATAGGAACCTAGTCTTACCCCTGCAAAGTGCAATGCAGAGAGGCTGGTTCGAACCCAGGACCTCTTGGCACAAGTGGGGAGGACTTCACCATATCAGGAATGAAATTACTGTAGGAAAAAGGAAAACCCTCTAGCCTGAGTCTTGGTTAAGGATAGCAACCCGATTCATTGTTTCATCTACTGCAGACTTGTAATGCTAGTGCTGGCTCACTAAAAAAATTCCAACTCACTAGACCAGAGGACCAATTATGTACGTTTAGGATTTTCTTTTCTCTGCTTTAGTAGACATCCACAGGAAAACCTCTCCGCTAAAATCTCCGTAATCATTAATTATAAAACAACATCGGGTAACATTGAGTATTAGCTGAGCACTAAACAAACTTCCAGAGGCATAGCACCAGACACCCCATGAAAATCACAAGTACCTTTTCTATTTAGAAGTTAGGAATTAAAGATAAAACTAAGGTTCTTTCTGTGTTGGGATACTAATTCAATGTTGCCTAGCTATAAATTGGCAGTTACAGTAGTTTGTAAGCCCATATGGAACAAGGGATCAAATTCAGTATTATGAAGCACAAAATGCTACAGGTACATATAAAAATGCAAAGGGAAAGCATTATTACCCTTAGCAAGTTCCCACGCGAGAAAAGCTCCGGTCTCCTCATTGGAAGAGTAACAAGTTCATCCAGTGTCTTCTTGACATCCTCAAGAGCGCCAATATCTTCAAATTTAACTCCAATTTCATGGGGAGGTACAACTGCTGATATGAAATTGCGCTCAAATTCATCTTTTGCCAACATCTGCAGCAAGACACTCTTTGAGGTTGGACATCATCACAGCATAATCTTGATACATAAGAACAGACATGGTTAACTCCAAGGAACAACCAAACAACTTAAATTACCTTCATGTTTTCAGAAAGTGACTTAGTTGAAGCCTCCAGCTCCCTTAGCCTCTCGATTGCTAGGTCCAGACTTCAAAGAAGAAAAGATATCAACAGTCAGTGCCCAGCCATAGATACAACTGAATGCCCAGACAACTGAGGAAATACCTCTCACAGGGAATGACTAGCTTGTCACCCTTTATGGAAGGACTAATCGCTGACGACAAATAGTGACTTCTAGCCCATCCAATGACCTTCTCCGCTCCTGCATCCACATAGAAAATTACAAATGCATGCAGTAAGTAACTGTCCTGCTCCAACTTAAGACGCTTTAAGTTCTTTGATGACGTGATAAAAGTTCATCACCATGCAGTCATACACCCACAAGCACCTGCAGCAACGAGAAAACAAATACAAGCATATTTCGAGGATACATCTGCCAAGGGATGGCTGTTGCAGCTTGTTGACCACGATATTGTGGTTGGATCTAGCAACTGCAGCATTTCAGCAAGTAAGGATTGAGGAATGAGGAGAGGGTCTCCTTGGCCCGATTGCCATTTAGGACTGATGGAGGAACTTTGGTGATCGCCAACGACAAGTCGTGTAAACAAGGTGGCATGCCATGCAGCTGCATCCTACACCATTGTATACCGATGATGTTGGGGACTCCAACAACAGTAACCAGAGATTGGTGATTGAAGACGGTAAGGAGCATCAAGTGTAAACCCTAGGTAGTTCAGATCTGGAATTCAACTAAAGAACGAAGGAAGGAGAAACAGACAGAGAAGTTGACGCCTGTGGTTTAACCCATGTCGCTGCCCAGATCCAAAGGTGCCGAGCTATGATGATAAACACTAAAATCAACAAGGGAAAAAACAACTTCACACTGGGAGGAGGAACCTCAAACACAAAAACCAGTAGCCTAAAAACTAGATCAACTTGCTGTTAGCTATGCCGGCGGTCAGCTGGAGAGGAACGGGGGATATGGTAGGAATATGGGGGATTCATAGGGAAAAGGAAGGCAGAGAAAGAGAAAGTCCAGAGCAGACTAGAGGAATTTATAAGAGATAAAAGGTTGTACCTAAGACAGGTGAGAGGTGTTACATTCATTACGAGGGAGTATTAATTTTATTTAGCTTATAATGCCAATCATAAGGTGATGCAACTTCAAAATTTTGGGCCCATGCGCCCGGACTGAGCACTGGTCATGTACTCCAGTTGCAGTTCAACTGGGATCAATATGCACAGTGCAAACAAAGGTTCCTTAACAAGAATAACATTGTTGAGTTAGAACTACCGTAGGATCAATAAATGAAAATGCATGCTAGTATGCCACCCAAACACCAGAACAATAATCATGCGCACCAATAAACTTGAAGCCGGACATTGTTTAATTCAAACTTTCATATGATCTATTCACACATAAGCAGCACAGGCAACCATGATTCAGGGAAAAAGGATATGCATCATAATATGGATCCGGTTAGCAGACTTACTTTGCTTCGTCAGAATAATGCCCTCTAACTTCACATGCGACAGATTTTCACATGATAGCCCATGATCTTCAAGCACCTGCATTTACATGTCAGGACTTACACGCAAGCACTTGGGGAAGCGAATCAGTCGTTGTCATATGTAGGTCAACTGGTCAAGTAATGGAAATGAAAAGCAATTGACTAAATCTACTGATTAGAGCTCAGATAGCTCTTCCAATACCTTGTGCAATTCTACAAGGTTATGCCTTGAAACGATTATTTTTTTGTCCTCCGCAATCTGGTTATTGAACTCTCTCAGTTGCTCATCATCCTGAACATAAAAAGAAGTATCACACAGCTGTAAAGATAACAGCATTGTCCAAACTAGGAGGGCTTGTAGTTTGTACGTTTTCAGATCAGCAGGAGAGTGCAATCAACACTGAATAACATAATAGTACTTTTGGAGACTAAAATGGTGTAAACTTACCTTTGGAAAAGGAATATAGAATTTATTTCCGAAGAGTTTCGCTATGCCATTGGACTTTGAAGGCTTCCGCCCTTGTAGTCCCCCTACCAGCCTCTTCAAGGATGTCTGAAAAAAATACAAATTTCAACCAAGTACAAATTTTTAGCCATTTGCTTGGCAATCCCACCATAAATGAAACCAACTCTCCAAGACATTATTGCAAAGAAAAGTAGCTCACAGGAACAATGTAAATTCGACTGCAGAACATCATGCAACAAGGCAGAGAATGACCCAATTATGTTTTCTACCTACTTCGCTAAGGTAGAGCATTTGTTAGGTTAACAATGAAAAGCATTGCCGATTTTGGAGGGTGCATTTAAATTGTGGTGGCTTCATAAAAGCACTTCCATTATGCTAGTTTTTGACTTATAAACTTACGGCAAGACTCTTCTGATAGTTGTGACAGCAATATTTTACTAGATTTGATAATTATTCTCAGCAACCAACTAGATTTTATAACAATTCTCTGCAACCAACTGTAGATTTGTTAATCGTTCTCTGCAACTATCTACAGTCTAGTGCAGTGCAGTACAGTACCAGCAACCTGCCACCAGGCAGTCTTTGCCAGACCTGTCTGGAGTTGGGCACCTGGTAAGGCGGCCAACCTGGATCAGCTAAGACAAACATTGTTTCGACCAGGTCTGGCCAGGGCCTTGCTTGCTAGCAGGCTTATAATGTTGCATTTATTCTCACCTTGATCTGGCACAGGTACTAAGCATATATGGGATTGCTTTTGAATTTTCTTCAAAAATAAAAATGATGTGAGGTCACGCAAGCTAGCATACCAAGCAGTCAACTGCTAACTTATCCAGCTATATCAAACATATCCCTTACTCTATGAGCACAATGAACAGAGCCCATGGGAATATTTAGCAGGTTAGGTTAAGCAATGTATACATGCTATCAATGCTAAAAATTTCTTTCACCCCAGTTACCCATCACTGGTAACACAAAACAAATGAGGGAACGGCTAAATGAGGATACAAAAGAGCAAGGGAAAATAGCATGATACTTTTGCAGGTCTCTTCTGGTTGAAGACCTCATAGAAGGAAAAAACTAGCCACATACTGTGCCATAACTAATACCTAGATGGCTAGATGAGCACAAGAGACAATTAAAAAGCTAGATGGGAGAATGAGGATGTTTTCTCAATCAGTTGTAACAGAGAAAAACCACGAAACAAACACATATTCTTGAATAGATTAGCAAGAAATTACCAGTGGAGACAGGCGAGAGAGATTGTGAAACACCAGTTCCTTCTGTGTTTATTCATAACAAAAGTAAGAAAAGAAATATATATAATACTCCCTCCGTCCCAAAATATAAGAACGTTTTTAACACTAGCATAGTGTCAAAAACGTTCTTATATTCTGGGACAGAGGGAGTAGAATGCAGGAAGGTGAGAATGGGACTAGATGAGTTTCTGTCGCTTACTGGATCTTTATCCTTGGGTGCTGCCTCGAGTATGTTCTGCCCACATATCAACACTAAAGGTCCATTAAGCTGGTCAAACATTTCCTCTACCTTTTCGATAAACTCTCTGCGATTTGATCTTGGAACTGCCCTAGAAAGCCACTGTGAACTGTCCGGAAAGTAAACAATGGCTGGTTGAAGAGATGGCAGTGCCTATTTGTACAAGCAAAGGGAATCCAGAAGAGGTAAGTTTACTGAGCAGACCAGATGGAACACACACTGCAATTGCAGCACGCAAGCATCACACCAAGTGTACCCAGCATAGAATGGTGGTCAAAGCTATGCAAATGTATGCATGCACAAAGACAAGAAATGTCAAGAAAAAAAATGTTCCATACAAAAGATATTGTGTGACAAATTACCTCACAAAATGCTTTCATCGCGATATGCCAATCTTCCGCCTCAGTATCATTGTCATGCACAATATCCTGAACTAAAATTACAAACAAGATCATTGTTAAAATTGCAAAGTATCCAAGCTGAATGTAGATATGGATGCTTCAGAATAGAAACATACTGTCAACCCAGCAAACTGATGGTTTAGCATCTTGCGCTTTGTTAGCTTCATCATTTTTACCATCATCCAGCTTCTCCTCAGGAGGGTCAAATAAAACAGCCACTTGATCACCATTGATCTCGTATATCTCTCCACGCTGTCCATTTGATAAAGTTCTGCAATTTTAACAGTTCGAAGAATGTTGAGTTATAAAAAACACATAAGGAAATGGTGAATTCTAAAAATGTTCAGTGATAAGCTTGCAATATCATAAGAAGTAAAAATGTGAAACCAAATCATTATTCATCAGAAACAATGCCGACATGGACTACTGAGATGAACAGAAGCATAGTAAAAATCAAACTAAAGACGCATAAATTATATGTATAAGCACAGCAAAGCATTCAACAGAACTTACAGAAGTTTCCGAATATGCCCATGAACAACATATGGTTCCAACTCAAGATTTTTGTTGACCCATATTGTTGAAATGAGAAACTTCAAAAATTAAATCTACCCATATAGATAACAACTATCCAAAGGCATGAAAAGCTAAAGATGCAGACAGACATGAAATAAGGCATGCAGACAAAAGTCTTCTTAACCTATTCGAGAAAAGATTTATCCACCCACCTGCCGCTAATAAAGGTAAAAGCTTCTGCTGCTCCCTCTTGAGTTGGTATTTTCCCCAAAATGACCCTGTGATATGAAAGATGATATGCATCATGATAAGTGAAAGAAGCTTAGTAAGACGGTCCGTAGCTATGTTAGATGACAGAGAATGAACACTGCAAACATGTGCTACATGCCCTCCCGACACCAGGCACCAACCTCGCCAGCATTACTAATGCAAGTAAGCATGCATGCAGAGAGAACTAACAACACACACAAGAACTCAAATGAACAAACATGCAACTATGCGTACACCTGGATCAGCAAGTACCCAGGTGGCCACTGGCCAGTCCTACACACATAAAAGTCCAGCCATTTTTCTGTCTGTGCTTGCTCCACAAGCATCTCCATATACATAGGCACACATCTCCCACAACTGCAGCCCGTGCATTAAAATGCCCATCGGTTGGAAAATTTTGAGTTCGAAGCTCTTTCTGTTACTATTCAGGTCTGATGAATAATCAATGCTAATGCTTATTAACTTTCCAGAAATAAACTCCTTTACGGCAACACAACCAACAACATGAACAGACTAACAATATGTGAACTTCATGGTGAAACTCATCACATCATATAACACATAGCAGTCATGTCACTGGTCTGTGCATGAATGCATCAATCCATGAATGATGACATGGTCAGCTAAAAGGCACATGTATTGCTTAGCCTTAAAAGTAGCAAATCAAGTGAGGTACAGTACATGAGTCTAATAAGTTGAAAGAAGTTCAATGCAAAAGAAGATATATCATGATAAAAGTGGCTTAGACCAAAAAGAGAGCAGAACTACCAACAAGTACCTGTGATCTGCTTCAACAAGCACTGACTCTCCAACATACTTCACCCTGTCACCTGAAACAGTGATGAGGAAAGTTGGTGATGTCTTCATATAGAGTACGGTACGTATTAAAATGGTCCAGCCTGAATTTCGTATTCACCAATAGGTACAATCCTATGAAACTTAAGCAAGTGGTACAGCTGAATTATATTGACCTCATTCTCATAAAATAGCTGGAGTACTGAGCTTCTTGTCAATACTAAGATCTAAGGGCATGTTTGGTTGGTATACTAAGGCTGCCACAACACAAGTTAGGCAAGTTTGACTGAGTTAGTCCCCTGTTTAGTTTGCTGCCACACTTGTGGCAAGATTCTTTTCATGCAATCCCCACGTGTCATTGACTCAGAAAAATGTGGCAAGATTGCCTCAAGGGTGGCGCCAATTTTGATCGCCAAACCTTAGCCATGTATGGCAAGAAAGTGTAGCAAATGTTGGCAAACTTAGTCTCTGAACCAAACATGTCCTAAATTTTGGAGGAAAGTTGTTTGCGTAGAGTAGTTGATCATTCAAGTGTTTTGTGGCTAGTGAAGCTTCGGTTCACCTCGACAAAGAATAAATGAATAACACTAGAATGCAACTGCCTACTGGCTATGTACATTGTTCACGATCTGGCTGACAACCATTTATCTAATGCAGAATGTTGTACACACAGAAAACAGAATGTGATAATTCAAGATGAAGGGATTGAATATTATCAGATGGGCATGTACTTAACAAGCAATTAGACCTGAGTTAATTCCCATAACATGACACATTAACCTACGGCAGAGCTTAGCCTGTAATTTCCACAGGCAATAGGTAGGCTCGTTCCACCAAGGGGGGAAGTGGCTACTTACCAAAATAACACCAATTATCGGTGTCAACACTCAAGAACAAAAAACTTAGTTATATACCTTTTTGGAGAGGCCTCTTCCCTTCTTCAGACGACTCAGCGGTGGATTCTTCTGCTGCTGAAGAATTTTCTTGCACACTAACAACTCTCTAAGACAAGAACTCAAGGTATAAGTTTTAAGCCAGAATGAGAAGCAGACAAAAAGAAAGGAGGAAAACGGGTCCAACATTACATTAGCATGTTAAGAAAAGATCGAAACAAGACCATCGCATGAGACTGACACTATTAGACGCAAACTTGCTAATCAGAAATTTATTACAGGACACTAATATCAACATTAAGCCTTTTATACTATCTACTATGTTACAGCAAAAAACTCTTTGTTTGTAGGTCTTCCACCCCTGATTTTTAAAATAGGTTGTTAGATACAAAGTAAAGGTACATCGCTCAGTATTCAAATAAAATAAAAGGAGCAAGATGGCAGGCATTATCAAATGTCATGTTTTAGTACTGTATATGATTTGGCAGCATAACAGAAACAAACACCTTGGCCAATTCCTCAAGAGTGCGCGGAGCTAACTTCTTGAGGGCCTCCATTGATTTGACAGATTCGTCGTCGTCACTTTCACCAGACTTAGCTTCATTATAATCTTCATCTTCCCCTTCTGATTCTGAGCCTTCATCTTCTGACTCCGCCTGACCATTCTCTTCCTCACTCTCTGAACAATCTTCACCATTGTCCTACAAGGCGAGCCATTAGGTTTGCCCACAAAACTGGAGTCTTAAGCTTTTAAAATAGGCGGAGATTATAACTTACATATGGAGCTAGAACACTGCTGTCCAGAACCAACAATGGCACTCGTAACTCATGGGCAATTGCTCTTACCAATCTCTCCCGGTAAAGCTCAGTTCCTGCAATAAATGTAAAATCTTATCATCCATGCAAGCAGAATGACACGCATTTGGAAGAAACATGGTCATCCTTCCTGCACAACACCTCGCAAGCTCTGGAGCAATATCCTCCCACCGGATGACTGCAGCCGAGAACCGTACTCCAAAGTAGCATCCTTGTTCCGCAGGTGTGATGCCACACACTCGGTCAGCAGCTGCTTCGCATTCTTACTTGCAACCCAAAGGAGAGGCGGTGAAATGCAACTGAGTTAGTCCACGCTAGGGAGGAAAAACAGCAAACAGGTGGCGTGCGTGCGTGCGTGCTTTCCATCGTGCTTACTCGACGTAGTACGGGAAGTTGCTCCACGTGAGGCTGCTCTTCTCCCAAGGCACGGCCCGGCGCAGAAACTCGTTGCGGAAGCGCTCCCGTTTGGTGAGGAACGGCGACTCGCGCCTCTTGCAGCCGGTGACGAACCGCTCGCCGCTCAGCCACTCCTGTTGGTCCTTCTCCCCGAGCCGCGCGTGCTCCTGCTGGTTGCTGCTGCTGCTGCCGCCGCCGCCACTCCCCGCAGCCGTCTCCGCGCTCCCGACACCCTCCTTCGAGCTGTAGAACCGGCAGAGGCGCCCCCTCTCGCTGAACGGCAGGCGCGGCGCGCCCAGCCTCCGTGACCCGTCCGGCGCGCCAAATCTCCCGGCGCCACCGCCGACGGTCGCGGGGGTGGCGAGGGGCACGGCACTGCAAGACGGCGGAGGGCGCAGGAGGCAGCGCATCCGCATGGCGCGATGCATCGCGGGTCGCGTCGGGCGAAGCGACGAGGGATCCGCGAGCAGGCTAGGTCCCGGGTTAGCACATGCGGCGGCAGGATGGTGAGTTCTAGGGTGACCTGTGAGTGGCGGCGCAATGGCTGATAGGGTTGTCCTGGTTGCGCTGGCGGCGGGCGGCGGCGGTGCACGGCAGCGGCGGCCAGGAGAGAAGGGCCACGGCGGCTGCACGGGACGGCGATTTGCGTAACTTAGCTTCGCTGCGGCTTTGGGTCGGCAAGTTCCGCGTCGCTGGTGGGCCGTAATGTGGGGTTTCAACAGGCTCGTGCTATTTGCCGATTCCTGTTAGAATCGATTAGCAGGCCAGCCCATTAGGGCAGTCGCACGCTGCTCTACTGTGTCGCGTTCGCTCCTTCCTCATCATTGGTAAACGTGCACTCACCTCAAAAAAAAAAGGTAAACGTGCACGGGTTATAAAAAAATTGGTAAACATGCACGTGCAACACATGTCTGTATTATTAAAACAATTATTGCTAAAAATTTGATCTAATGTGACAAACATGTATCATCACGGTAGTGTTTTGTATTTTTAGTGCTCATAGCCGAAATCCGAGTCGTGGCTCTGGTGGATCGTTCATTAGCCAATGAAGTCCTCAACATAACATTAAGAAAGGTGACGAAACCACAGTTACACACGTACACATGCATATATTAGTAAGGTTATATAGCACCAACAAGAAGTTGAAGCGCCATGTAAGAAATATAACACGGTTTTTTGGCATAATCTCGTTCATCGTTCAACTAAGTTCCTCTAAACAATTTAATCCACAAGTGTTATTAAGTCTATTAAAATTAGCAACATGGGGTTGAGCATTTCTAACATCATCTTCTCTACAATTTTTCTCAACATCCAAGTCTTTGAAGGCTTTCTATTGTGCATGGTTATTCTTAGTAATGATCAATTTCTTTCGAAAACAGTTACACGGCAGTTCTTGGTCTCTAGATTAAATAGAACAAAGATTACAAAAATATTTCAGCTACTAGAACAAAACCTTTGTTTTAATTATCAAGACTTACTTCCTCTTGCACACATCACACATACTACTGCCCAGGGGCGGATCCAGCTTGGGTCATGGTGTACAGATGTACACCCAAAATTTTCTGCAAAATAGTTCATATACTACGTACAGTTATATGGCAGAAATACTAGCGTACATGCCGAAGCCTATGTGACCAACATGCTTATCGGCAGCACGGCAGACCAGCCCACCAGCCCTGGAGATCAGCCACACGCACACAAGCCGCGAGACCACAAGCAATCTGAAATAGAAATTCCCAACTAAGGCCTCGTTCGCTTCAAAGGATTCTAAACCATATGAAAAATTAAAAGCGTAGGAACAGGGAAGCCTTGTAGGTACAATACGGAGGAACTGAAATTAGAGGAAAGAAACAGTGGTTGTGCGTTCTGAACGCCGGATGGATAAACAGAGAGCTGCAGCAGTCTGTGCTGATTTTTAATTCGCATGCTAGCCATTCTTCTCTCACACATGGACCCACACTGCATATTTTATTCAGCTTATCAGTGGGCAGCCTCGGGCTTCCGCCAAAAAAAGAGATCAGGGTAGATGTGTCGATTCCTATGGAATTGACACTGTTAGCAATCCTTTCCTACGCTATACTATAGCGAATTCCTTTGTAACGAACACAGCAAAGGGAAAAGAAACCATGGAATCCATAATTCCTTTGGAATGTCCAGAAATCCTGTAAAGCGAACGGGGCCTAAATGTGTAGCTTTGTTTGGATGTAGAGAGAGATAGTTCCTGGGCAAAAGTATTTTATGTGTTTCCACTTTTTGGAGGTGTAAAATAAAACACCTTGTGTTGCAAATTTGCATCTCCGTCGTCTAGAGATGTAAAAAGGACCGCCGCCCGTCAACAGCCAATTGTTGTTTCCGCGTGGTCGCCGCTCATTCGCCTCCCGCCCATCTGCCGCCCACTTGCCTCCCGTCGCCGCCATGGCCGCCGCTGATGACCCCGTTGCCTTCTTCGACTCCGTCGCTGGTGGCCTGACCCACTTCGCCGTGGCCGCCGCCTCCACGCCAACTTTCCCCAATCCGGCCTCCGCCTCC